TGTACCTTTTACTAGGGAACCCATTTGGAAACTGAGCAGCTACTGGGCCTCCTTTGAATGGGGGTTCTAGATCTTCTCTATGCAAGTGAATTAGTTGGAGTATTGGTCTCTGTAAGACTCTCTGGGCCCAGGTATTTTGGCTCTGATGTTCTCCTTATGGAGTTTCTGTTCCCTCCAGGTCTTTCCATCTCCCTCTTCTTAAATAAGGATTCTGGCACTTTGCCCAATGTTTGTCTATGAGTCTCAGTATCTCATTCTATACCCTGGTGGGTAAAGTATTTCAGATGCCCTCTGTGGAAGGCTCTGTCCTATTCCTTGTCTTCTCTTACTTCTGATGTCTATCCTGTTTGCTCTTCAGAATGAGGATTAAGCATTTTCCCTGGGGTCCTCCTTGTTGTTTGGCTTTTTAGGACTATAGATTTTAGTATGTTTATTCTATATTATACGGATAATATCCCACTTACAAATGAGTATTTATTATATGTATCTTTATTCTTCTGTGTTTTTAATTGGGTTATTTGGTTTTGGTGTATAATTTCTTGAGTTCTTTATATATTTCAGATCTTTTCCCATCTGAACGATGACATTTTGTCATATTGACAGTATCCTTTGGCTTGAAGAAGCTTTTCAATTTCATAAGGTCCCATTTATTAATTGTTGATCTTAGTGCCTGAGCTATTGGAGTTCTGTTCAGAAATTTGTCTCCTGTTCCAATGAGTTCAAGGCTCTTACCCATTTCATTTTTTAATTAGATTTAGTGTATCCAGTTTTATGTTGAGGACTTTAGTCCATTTGCACTTGAGTTTTGTGCAGGGTGATAAATATGGTTGTATTTGTATTTTTCTCCATGCAGACATCTATTTAGAACAGCACCATTTATTAAAGAAGCTTTCTCTTTTCCATTGCATTGTTTTGGCTTATTTATTAAAAAAAAAAAAAACCAAGTGTCTGTAGGTGTGTGGGTTTCTCTCTGTGTCTTTGATTCAATTCCATTGATTATCCTGTTTTTTTTTTCAATACACTGAAGTTTTTTTTTTATTACTATTACTCTACAATATACCTTGAAATTAGGGATGGTTAGACCCTAGAAGATCTTTTTTATTAAATTTTCATTTTTTATATTATTTACAGTTTATTCACTCTGTATCCCAGCTGTAGCCCCCTCCCTTCTCCCTTCCCAATCCCTCCTTCCCTCCTTTATCTCCTCCTATTTATTGTACAGGGTTGTTTTAGACTGGGTTTTCTGCTTTTCCATATGAAGTTGAGAATTTTTATTCCAAGGTCTGCAAAGAATTGTGTTGATTTTTTGATGGAAATAGCATTGAATCTGTAGATTGCTTTTGTTAAGGTGGTCATATTTTACTATATTAATCTAACTGATTCATAAGCATGGGGAATCTTTTCATCTTTTGATATCTTCTTCAATTTCTTCAGAGACTTGAAATTCTTGTCATACAGGTCTTCACTTGCTTGGTTAGTGTTTCACCAAGATTTTTTACATTATTTTTGTCTGTTTTGAAGTGTGTTGTGTCCCTAATTTTTTTAGCCCGTTTATCATTTGTATACAGAAGGGCTACAGATATTTTTGAAATAACTTAGTAGCCAGTGAATTTGCTAAAGGTGTTTATCAGCTGTAGAAGTTCTCTGGTAGATTTTTGGGGGTCAGTTATATATACTATCATAGCATCTTGTACGACCCTCAAATATCCAACAGAGAGCAAACACTTCTCTGAGTGTTTCTCTCTGCGAAAACCATAAATGAATCTTACTCATTGCAAAGCATAATAATGCAAAAGTGTTCTCACTGTGTGTGGGCTTCTACTTATCCCATCTCAGATCTACATGGGGACGTTTTCCAGCTCACAAAATCAATGCCCCTCGAAGGAGGTAATTTTCAGCTGACAAACATCAAGTACCTTTTCAAGAGGGCTGTTTCCCCACAGGGGTTATTTTCTGCTGGGAGAAAAGCATTTCCCTATTCCATACCTGAGACGAAAACAGAAAACATATTCACATGACACAACTGAGTTACCAAAGAAACCAGAAACTTCCACTTCAGCCTTCATTTTCATTGAATTCTAGAAAAGCTTTAATTTCTTTCCTCATTTCTTCCCTGGCCCAGTGGTCATTTTGTAGAGAGCTGCTCAGTTTTCACGAGTTGGTAGACTTTCTGTTCTTTTTTTTTTAAATATCTTAACAAATTTATTTTGCTTATATTTTATCTTACATATGTGCTTAATAATAAACTCTTTTTTGTTTTTTTATTTAATTTTATTTTTTTCTTATCAGTTACATTTTATTAAGTCTGTATCCCAGCCATGTCCTGCTCCCTCATTCCCTCCCAATCCAACCCTCCCTCCCTCATCTCCACCCTGCCCCTTTCCAAGTCCACTGATGGGGGAGGACCTTCTCCCCATTCATCTGATCATGTTTTATCAGGTATCTTCAGGACTGGCTGCAAAGTCCTCCTTTGTGGCCTAACAGGACTGCTCCTCCCTTGGGGGGATGGAGAGGTCAAAGAGCCAGTCATTGAGTTCCTGTTAGAAATAGTCCTTTTTCCCCTCACTATGGGAAACCAATTGGTTACTGAGCTACCATGGGCTACATCTGAGCAGAGGTTCTAGGTTATATCCATACATGGTCCTTAGTTGAATGTCAGTGTCTGAAAAGACCCTGTGCCCAGATATATTTGGTCCTTGTGGAGCTCCTATCCTTTCCCCATCATACTAACTCCCCTTCTTTCACATGATTCCCTGTACTCTGCCGAAAGTTTGGTCATGAGTCTTTGTATCTGCTTTGAAAACACTGCTAGTTAGAGTCTTTCAGATGCACTCAGTAGAATCCTGTCATACATTCAATGCACATCCCATCTGTCTTTCTAAACGAGGATTGATCATCTTACCCCATGTCCACTCTCTTGATTATCTTTTTTAGGTGTATAGATTTCATTATGTTTGTCATATCTTATAGGTCTATATAAGTGAGTATATACCATGTTTGTCTTTCTCCTTCTGGGATATTTCACTCAGAATGATCTTTTGTAGATCCCACCATTTGCCTGCAAATTTCATGATTTCCTCCTTTTTGATTGCCGAGTAGTATTCTAAGAGCAACAATCAATAAATGGGACCTCATGAAACTGAAAAGCTTCTGTAAAGCAAAGGACACCATCATCAAAACAAAACGACTACCTACAGATTGGGAAAGAATCTTTACTAACCCTTTATCTGACAGAGGAATAATATCCAGTATATACAAAGAACTAAAGAAGCTGAAAAGCAGCAAACTAAGTAATCCAATTAGAAAATGGGGAACAGAGCTAAACAGAGAATTCTGGACAGAGGAATATCGAATGGCAGAGAAACACTTAAAGAAATGCTCAACCTCATTAGCCATCAGGGAAATGCAAATCAAAATGACCCTGAGATTTCACCTTACACCGATCAGAATGGCCAAGATGAAAAACTCAAGTGACAACACATGCTGGAGAGGTTGTGGAGAAAGGGTAACCCTCCTCTACTGCTGGTGGGAATGTAAACTTGTACAACCACTCTGGAAATCTCTCTGGCGCTTTCTAAGACAATTAGGAATAGTGCTTCCTCAAGACCCAGCTATACCACTGCTAGGTATATACCCAAACTTTGCTCAAGTACACAAAAGGGATACTTGCTCAACCATGTTTATAGTAGCTTTATTTGTAATAGCCAGAACCTGGAAACAACCCAGATGTCCATAAACGGAGAAATGGGTACAGAAATTGTGGTATTTTTTAGACTTTCTGTTCTTTCTGTTGTTTATGCCAAGCTTTAAATCCATGGTGATCTGATAAAATACAAGGTGTTGTTTCAGTTTTCTTGTATTGGTTGAGGCTTGCTTTGTGACTGACTGTGATCAATTTTGGTGATGATTTCATGAGGTTTTGAGAAGACTATATTTCTTCGTGTTTGGGTGAAATGCTCTATAGATATCGATTAGGTTATAACTTCTGCTAGTTTTATTATTTTTCTGTTTAGTTTCTGTTTCTATGACCTGTCCATTGGTGAGAGTGGTGTGTTGAAATCTCTCATTATTAATGTCATTATTAATGTTTGGGGTTTGATGTGCAATTTAAGCTTTAGTAACATTTTCTTGTTGTTGTTTTATTTTTTATGTGGGTACTCCTTTATTTAGGGCATAGATGTTCAGAATTGAGATGTTCCTTGATAAGTACTTCTATCTCTTGATTAATGTTGGTTGAAAGTCTATTTTATTAGCTTTTAGAATGGCTACTTCAGTTTGTGTCTAGTGTCTGTTTTCTTGAAAAATCCTTTTCAAGCCTAAAGATATTATTACTCTGAGATAATGTCTATCTTTGTTTCTGAGGTGTGTTTCTGTATATGGTAGAATAATGGGTTCCGTTTTCACCTCTGTTCTGATAGCCTCTGACATTTTGTAGGAAAACTGAGTCCATTGATTTTGAGAATTATTAATGACCAATGATTGTTATTTCTTGTTATTTTGATGCTGGTGATGGTATTGTGTGTGGGGGTATGTTTCTTTTTTGGTTTAACTGCAGCATTTATTTCCTGTGTTTTCTTAGGTTTAGTTAACCTCACTGGTTTGTAATTTTTCTTCTACTATCTTCTGTAGGGCTGAATTTGTGAGTAGAAAATTTGTTTTTTTCACAGAATATCTTGTTTTTTCCATCTGTGATGATTGAAAGTTTTCCGTGGTCTACTAATCTGGGCTGACATCTGTTGTCTCTCAGGGTCTGCAGGACATATGTCTAAGCCTTTTTGATTTTTAGACTCTCCGTTGAAAAGTCAGATGTGATTCTGATAGGTCTGCACTTATATGTCATTTGGCAACTTTTTTATTTTAATTTTTATTAATTATACTTTATTCACTTTGTATCTGCCCATAAACTCCTCTCTCCTCCCCTCCCAATCTCACCTTCCCTTTTCCTTCTCTACACATGCCCATCCCCAAGTCCACTGATAGGGGAGGTCTTCTTCTCCTTCCAAAAGCAGTGGTTAGATGCCACAAATGAGGTGGCAATGTCTTAACCATATGCCTCTTTTTAAGCCCAAGGTCCTCTTCCATTTTTGTCAAGGAGAGTGCTAACCTTCTCTCCTTTCATACAACACATTTGACAACTTTTAATATTCTTTCTTTTTCTGTACATTTAGTTTTTTGATTATTATATGACAGGAAAATTTTCTTTTCTAGTCCAACCTATTTGGTGTTCTGTTTGTTTATAGGCATTTGTTTCTTTATGTTGGAGAAATTTTCATCTATGATTTTTTTTAAATATTTTCTGGACTTTGGAATCAGGAATCTTCTTTTTCTAATCCTATTATTGTTAAGTTTCGTCTTTTCATAGTGTCCCTGATTTCTTGATTATTTTTGTCAGGAACTTTTTAGATTTAACACTTTCTTTTACAGATATCTCAGTCTCTTCAATTGTGTCTTCCATGCCTGAAAGTCTCTCTTCCATCTCCGGTATTCTGCTGTTGATTCTTACATCTGTAATCCCTCTTATCTTCCCTAAGTTTTTCATCTCCATGGTTCTCTCAGTTTGTCTCTTCTTTATTATTTCTATTTCAATTTTACAGTCTTGAACTGTTCCATTTGTATATTTTAGGCACATGTGTTCCTAAAATAAAGATGTTGAACAGTATTATCAATATGTCAACAATTGAGAGAATTTGCACTTTATATAATTTAAAGTATAAAAGGATAGGTTCTGCATTTTAAGGTTAAGAAAGATTAAATGTGAAATAGCATTACTATTTGCACAACAGGAAGCCTGCACCTCATCATTCCATTTGCTCATATCTCATATAATGATGACATAGATTCTGTCACTGTCAATGAATTGGAATTTGATTTTGTTTCTCTCTATGTATGTGATGGAACAGGAAGAAAAAAAAAGCAAAAAGATTGGGGATAGGCAAAGACAAACTGTTGACATTGAAATCAACAGTGTAGAAGTGAAGAAATTTGACATTAAGAAAATCAGTATGCATCCCCTTTCTCTGAAAAAAACAGTTCCTAACTTTCTATAGGTAGATGCCCTTCCGAGGAAAGAGAGATACACACTCAAACGTAGCTTTGTTCCTGTTATTTTACTATAAATTTTGCCCTTCTACTGAACCGTGTTTCAGAGTCAATTTAAGAGATCAAGAAGAGAGCCTCAGGTATTTTGTATCCACATTCAATAGCTCTCACAATTTTCACAGTCTGACTGCCTGAGGTTACTCAGGAAAATATAAACATTACTGTAAATGAAGAACTCATATGGTGATATTGTTAAATTTTATTTGTAATAGATATTCAATCCCTGGAAATATTATTTGAGAATATTATGAAACACTTGCCAGGCTCTTTCAGTCTATACGGGTCAGGGCTCCCTATAAGAGGAGGATCCAAAGAATGAATGCATTATTAAGAAAGGATTTATTATATTGGCTTAAACAATACAGTCAGTGTAGTCCAACGATGATTTCCTCATGCAAAGATCCTGAGGACCTAAAATCTGCTTAGTGCATAAAACTAGGTAACTCAAGAGTACCAGTATGGATCTGAAGTCACTCATGATTACTGGAAAGTCACAAGTCTATAGATCATATTGGAAGGATGAATAATCTGAGTTCTAATATCACAAAAAGCCAGATGCACTAGCCAACAAAAGGGAACAGAGAACAAATAAAGAGTGAAAGCTTTTTTTTTAACTTTCTTTTTTATTATTTTTTAAATATTTTATGTATTTATTTATTTATTTATTTATTTAGGGTTTTTATTACTTAACTTTTTATTCATTATTTATTTTTTAACACTTTATTCACTTTGTATCTCCTCATCAACCCCTCCTTCCTCCTCTCCTCATCCCACCTTCCCTCCCCCTTCCTTGAACTTTCTTATCCCTAAGACATCACTTGTAGGTGCAGCTACAGTCATGGCTGGACTTCCCATTTCATTTTATTAAGAAAATGCCAGGTTAGAGAGAAAAATCAGAGATTGAAAGTGCCCTCTGAACTCCAGCAACGGGGGTTCTGACACATTCTTCTTGCAAACACAGGCACTTGTACGAAATGTAAATAGCCACATACCACATATAATTATAGTCTTTAAGGAAAATAAATGTTTTTTTTTAAACCAAAAGTATCTCTCATAGGTCTCCCAACAGTTTGTCTCCTGGTTATCCCTAGAATGCTGACAGAGGACACAGCAGACTAACCTGAATGCATTGAATTATATGAATGAGTCAGTTATTTACAGTTGGCACCTGTGGAATTACTGCTATGTGACACTTATTTTTATCAAAAAATTATCCTGTTGATATATTTTATCTGTTACCTAATCTAGAACTTTAAAAAAAATGACTTAAGGATTGGTTATTAAGGCCTAAATCTACTTTTATTTTTAATTTATGGTTGAAATACAAATTTAGTTATAGATTGGTGTAAAAACATTATTCAAAGCATCATTGAAATATTGGAATTGTCTATAAAAGATTTTTAAAGGAATTACGAGTTAAGACACAGATATACAATATCAACTGACAAATATATGGGTTCTTGATATAAACTCCATTTATTATTTCCTGTGTCTGTATTTCACAAAAATATTTATCAGACTTTGAGCATTTTTCATGAAGGGAAGTGAAGTACATAAGTTTTAAGGTAAACTAACTAAGATTACTGGCCAACGTTGTTTGCTAAAGAGATGTTAGGCATACAAATACATACATGTACATACATACAGTTCCTTAAATTAAATAACTGTGTTCCTCTTGAAGGAACATTTCTTAACCAGAATTTTATTAAACATTCTTAGGATGAGTAAAATCCTCTAAGAACCATGCTCTTGTTTATAATAGTGTTCGTGCATAAACATGAAATGAAACTAAGACATCACAAGTTTTCTCCAAACCTTCACTTGATATAGCTACAAGAAAATGTTTTGCTCAACATGTTAATTCTACTGTAGCACTTTTTATATCTATTTTATATACCATATAGGATATCTCACTCAGGAGAGAAATGACTTCATTAGATTTATTAGTTTCCAGACAAATTATGCATGAAATAAATTCATTCTTGGATGCTGTGTTATATAATGCAATCTTCCTCAGTTTTTTTTTTTTTTGAACTTTTTAAAGATGTAGATGGGTTTATGTTACTTGAATACAAGTTATAAAAATTATTGCTAATTAGTGTTCTTTTAATAGAATTGAGAATGTGTTTCACATTCTGTACAGTGCTTCTCTCCTGGAAAGCTTCATGTTTCAGTAACATCCTACACTTAAGTCTGTAACCCATTCTTAACTAACAATACTCACTTCTTTCTTCTTTTAGACTCTGTCATAACTGAAACTTCTCAAAGGGAATTAACTTTCATTTACCTTGATATTTTTGGTACAAATGACATAATAATGTTTATGAAAGAATGGATAACTATTCAAAACAAATTTGTATTACTTTTACATACTGTGGTGGTTTGAATGAGAATGGTCTCCATAGGCTCCACTGTTTATAGGCTTGGTCCCCAATTGCTAGCACTGTTTGAAGAGTGTTTAGAAATATGACCTTGTTGGAGCAGGCGTGTCCCTGGAGGCAGGCCGAGAGGTGTAAAAAGACTCATGTCATTCTGACCAATCCCATCCCCCAGCTTTGTAGTGGTGTATCAACATATGAGCTCTTACCCATTACTTCACACCACCACCATGAACCTAAATATCTGAAACTATAATCCACATTAAATGTATACCTTTATAAGTTTCCTCGGTCATGCTATGTCACCACAAGAGAAGTAGGGACCAGAAAGAGGGCTATTGTTGTGACAGACATGCCACATGTTTTGTTTGTTTGGTTGGTTTTGTTTGCTGTTTGATGAATTTCCCTTACCCATACACCTCAGCTCATCAAGTTGCAGCAGGACTGAGCATGTCCTGTTCCTCTGTGGCCTGACAAGTGAGTCATTTTCCAATCCAGTTCCTACTTTCTTTACTAGAGGACCCACATGAAGCCTAAGCCTTCTATCTTCTCTTCTCTGCCTCCATTTGTGTTTGGGGGTGGGGACTATGTTCAGCTCCTGCATGCTGCTTGGTTGATGCTTCAGTCTCAGCAAGCTGCTCTGGGCCATGGTTAGTTGTCTCTGTTGGTTTTCTTGTGGAGCTCCTGTCATCTCCAGGTCCTTTTCTTTTTACTTCCACTTTTCCACAAGAGTGGAATCTTGCATCACCCAATGTTTGGCTGTGAGTCTCAGGATCTGTTTTGAGGTGCTGCTGGATAGCACCTCTCAGTCCACCTCTCTTGTCCACCTCTCAGTGGACAATTCTGAAAGGTTCCTGTCTGTAAGTTTATCAGATTGGCACTTTCTGATTGGGTAGGTCTTTGGTCGGACCAGACATTGGTTGGATATTTTCTAAATCTCTGTTCTATCTGCTCTATTTTTATCCCTACACATCTTGGCAGCAGGATGAATTTTGAGACAAAATATTTGTGTGTGTATTAATGTTCCCTGCCCTTTACTAGAAGACTACTCTAGTTAGAAGACATCCTCATCAGTCTCTATAGTCTCTGTTGCTAGGAGTCTCTGTTTTAGTCTCATTCATGTTCTCCCAGGAGCTTAACCTCACTTAGGTCTCCACCTTGTCACAGAGATACCCTCACCCTCAGTTTCTATTTTCTCTACAGGCCCTCTGTCCTCTTGTTCTTGCTCTCCTCAGGTCTGATCACTACCCTCTTAACTCTTGTTGCCCCCTTTCCTACCTTGTTCTCTCTCTTCAGCCACTACCTCTGTCTATTCTATCTCAATTTTCAAGTAAGATTTATGCATCTTCTATTGGATCCTCCATGTTATTTATCTTCTTTGGGCCTGTGCCTCCTAGTATGCTTATCCTGTAATTTATGGCTAAAATCCACTTACAAGTGACTACATACCATCTGTGTTTTCTGGGTCTGGGTTACCTTATTTAGTGTGATCTTTTCTTGTTCTATACATTTGCCTGAAATTTCTTAAATATGTGTTTGTTTTTAATAGTTGACTAGTATTCCATTGTGTAAATGTGCCACAGATTCTTTATCCATTGTACAGTTGCCAGACAGGACATCTAGATTGTTTCCAGATTCAGATTCACTTT